ACATACATTGGTATGTTCCCACGTCATTATGCATGAATATGCACAAGATGCAATACATTGTTCGTCATTATGGTCGGCCCGATCTCTTTATAACGTTAGCCTGTAATGCCAAATATGGATAGAAATTGCAGTAATTTGAGTAATTGAGTCATTGCTGGCTTCCCGGACAAACACATGATAGACACGCACAATTCACGCACGTGATATTCAGGCAAAAATTCGTCGCCTGAATGAAACTTTATTGTTAACACGAACGCGTCTTTGGAGAATACTTCAATGCTGGAATTGCTATTCATCGAATGGCACAAAAGCGAGCCTGCCGCACGCACACAATTCTTATTTGGTTTGGAAAGAATTCAGCCCGAACATAAGAAGATATCATATGTGCCGAGATTCCTGATTGATGAAAGTGATCCAGACCAGACATGAAGTTGTTTACTACTATAGATTCAGGACCGTGTGGTGCCATCAATCCCCAATCACCTTGCATGGTCGATGGAAAGTGCTCTAAACGATATCCACGGAAATTACTGGCGGAGACTGTCACTGGCAAATGATGGTTATCCGCTGTACGGCGTCGATCACCAAGACGACAACGGTCGATACTGTGCACAACGAAAGTGAAAAGAATGGATTTCGTTGTCGACAACAGTTGGATTGTTACATATTCGCCACTTATTTCTAAATCGCTCAAGACACATTGCAACGTTGAATACTGCAATTCAGTTAAGTACATAAAATATATTTGCAAATATGTCACGAAGGCGAGAGATATGGCGGTTTTTGGATTACAATCCTCGAATACCAAAGATGAATTTCACGCTATCAAGTGGTCGTTATGTGGAACTGTAATGAAGCGATTGGCGTATTATTCGCATTTCCCATTCACGAACGTCATCCTACTGTTACGCATTTGCGGTGCATTGGAGATGGTCAACGAGCTATATTTCACGGTTCGACATGCTACGCAACGTGCTGGACACCTCCAGCAACTACATTGACCAGTTTTTTTGAATCTGCCAAAGCGATCAGTTTGCACGAACTTTGCTTTACTCGAGATGCAGCACGTTATTATACTTGGAATGCTCAATCGAAGAATTTTCAAAGACGGAGCAAGGCGATGCGGTTCCTGGGTATCCAGATGTGCGTTCTACTGATGCTCTGGTATGTATACGCTCATCCAAAGAATAATGAATGTTTCTATTTGCGGTTGTTGTTGGTAAATGTGCGTGGGCCAACGTCATTTGAGTCACTACGAACTGTTAATGGTGTAATATTCCCAACATATCGTGCTGCATGTGAAGAATTGAAGTTATTAGAAAACGATAGTCATTGGGATACGACAATCGCTGAAGCCATTCTCTGCATCTCGCAAGTCAGATACGCATATTATTCGCTATCATAATTTCACATGTTTTCCATCAAACCCATGTAACCTGTGGCACAATACAGAGGATAATATGTCAGAAGATATTTTACATCAAATTCGTGTCAGTTCCAGAAATCACGATATTGAGATGAATGAGGAGATACATAATCTCGTGCTTTACCTCTTGATCGAAGATGTGTTACCTCATGTGCGTAATTTATTAATCAGGTTAGGAATGCCAGCACATATCGTGAAATGAATGACGCATATTTAATTCGAGAATTGGAACGGAACCGTGAATATGATCACCAGATGATTTAGTAGTTCAAACGAATGCTACCCCTGTTGAATTACCAACAAAGGAAGTTTATGTACTTTAATGAGGCAATCGAAGATGAAAATGGTGGTTTATATTCCTCCTAGATGCCCTGGGGAACTGGCAAGACATTCCTCACTGTCATTAAGTTTTGCAACTGTTCGGGCGAGATCTAACATAGCGGTTGCAGTTGCTTCTTCTGGAATAGCAGCCACTTTTAGAAGGATGCCATACGGCTCATTCAAGCATTGAAATTTACAGTTAAATCTTCAAACTATTGAGAACAACGTGTAATATATTGCAAAACACTCAGGAATGGGCAAAGTTTTAGCGGTATCGAAAAATCATCATATGGGACAATGCACAATGGCGCATAAACGTGCATTAGAAGCACTTAACCGAAACATTAAAATCGATTTACGAATGACTCGAAAATGTTTTTGAGGAGCAATGATTTTACTGTCTGGCGATTTCCGCCAAAATACTGCCAGTAATTCCAAGATCTACGCTGCCGACGAAATAAACGCTTGCCTCAAATCGTCAAATCTATGGCGCTATGTGAAGGAACTGCAACTGACAACAAACATGAAGTTACATTGCTTAATGATACATCTGCTGAAGATTCTCGAAGCATTGCGACCTATCGTAATGGTCAAGTACCTGTCGATGAATCGAGCGGATTATATAATTCCAAAATAATTTCTGTAATTTTGTCTCAAAAAGACGAACTTATCAACAATGTATTCCCAGAAATATTTCTATAACTACAAAAATAATGAATGGTTGAGTGAGCGAGCAATTTTAGCGGTCTAAGAATAAAGATGTAGATGACCTAAACTACAGAATTCAAAATAAGATCATTGAACAATGCATTCATTCAAATCTATTGACTCGTCAAAAATGAAGATGAAGCCACCAACTATCCAAATTGAATTTTTAAACTCTTGGACGTGCCTGGCTTCCACCCGACACAATTTACGTCTAAAGGTTGCCTCCGTAGTAATTCATGCTCGAAACATAAACCCAACCAACATGTGCAACGGTACGCATTGGTGTTGAAAAATTGATGAACAATGTAATTTACGCTACGATAATGATAGGAAAATTCAAAGGTGAGGAAGTTCTCATTCCGAGGATACAGATGATCCAACCGATATGTCGTTTGAATTTAAAGAGACTTCAATTTCCGATACGTCTTGCATTGCCATGACATCAACAAATCACAGGGCCAATCCTTAAAAGTTTGTGGTTTAAAATCTAGAACATTCATGTTTTTCCCATGGTCAATTATACGTGCATGTTCACGGGTCGGAAGACCATCTGCGTTGTTTGTTTTTGCGCCTGATAATAAAAAAAAAAATGTCGTGTATCACAAGGTAACTTAAATGAAGAGCAACCTATGTACTAAAATACAAAATAATATGAATGATTATGAGGTATTTATTTTTTTTTTTTTTTCAATTAAAAAAACTGCTTAATTTTATTGCCATTAAGGCGGAACAAAGTTCGCCGGGTCAGCTAGTTAATTATTAAATATCAGTGATAAAGATACAGTGCTGATCTGTCTGCTTTCTGCAGTATTTTTTTTCTATTACTCCTCATGCACACACATTTTAGAGGAAATCGGGATATGTTTCCTCTCCAAAACTACCAACAATAAGTTTTGAACTGCTTCTCGATAAGAGCCAGCAGATAAGAATATTTTGAGTGTGTTAAGGAGAAATTCAAAATATTACAGTAATCAGATTGCATAGTTTCATTAATGTTCGATGGAATTTATATGAAATCTTTTTTAGATAACAAAAGTCAAAATATAATTGGCACATAGGGCTACCATACGTCCTTTTCCTAGGATATATCCTCTTTTCGAAGTAAAAAGAACCGTCCGGGTGGATTACACAAGAAAGGAAGAAATGTTATTTTTTTATTGGGAGTACTACTTTTGAATGTAACCTAGACGTATGATATGCTGAGCTATTATAACTTATTTGTGTCTTTGACGCCATAACAATTGTATAAATAAATCACCTGGAACTTTAACTATGTCGCCTAACAACCGCCAAAAATCCATAGATCAATTTTACTCTTTGAAATGTCCTTTAGTCCATGAAATGCGACAGTGCTACCATTAGCTGGTACAACATATGGTGGTGCTAGCTTTAGATTCTGAGCTCAGTCCTGTAATTACTGTTCTGCAAGCCTAATAAGTTAATATCTGTGATGCATACATTTCAAGCATGATGCCAAAAAGCCTTACATACTTAAAGAAAGTTCAAAACGTTTGTCGCAAAGTTCAAACCAAAGCAAAGCAAAGTTCTAATTGTTGAGGGAGATTTCATCATCCACCAAATACTTCTGGTATAAAAGTGAAAAAGATCATAATGATAATGAAATAGGCCCATTGTGTGATTGTAAAAGTGATGACAATTACTAAAGTATTTATTTTGAGAGTAGTAGGTATTTTGTCTTTAAGGGAAAAATATTGCGTTAAAACATTATAAATATATAAAGTGTCCTCTTTTTCCACAATGGAATTATGGTAATCCTATTGGCAAACGTAAGATACTCCAGATGCTGCTACTTCAATTGTTTCACTGTTTATATAATATGAATTCTCCTCCTATATTATTTCTGTAGTAGAGTCTGCTTTGCGACTCTTTCACACCACCCATTTTTATAAATGAGGTCTCTGAAGAAAGAAAATGTCACGGACGCGACGAAATTCAAGTTGACTTTTAAAATATGTAGTATTTGTTGAAAAAAGACGCATCTAAATATTCACGTTAAATGTAATGCGCAACAATAGGTAGCATTGTTAAAATCTATTTAGTTAAATACGTACTAAACGAAGAGTTCTAGGGCCTTAAAATCTGGAATTTTCAGACTGCTTGTCTCAAAGACACGTTCCTCGCACCCTAATCTGTAGAACGAGAACTGCTTGGATCTTCTATAATTTTTTGGTGCGGCGCTACTCGAAACTACCCTCACGTCTCAGATACGTGCAGAATCTGCAACTGCATGTGAAATTAAACTACTTAGTGATATTCGTAAATGAAATAATAATAATACTAAGTAAATAATAATAATAATAATAATAATAATAATAATATTAAAGAATATAAATATAATTCTCATGACATTTTTGTACGAAGCCACTCTATCCCACCTCTCGCCGCTTCAGCTCGCTTCTGGATTTGGAGGGGAAATAAGAGCGGAGTGAGGGGAATCGCCCGTGTTCGCGCGTGCCCGGGCTGCCCAGGCGGGCAAACGCCCGTGCGGGCGCGCGCCACGTGACTTGAGTGTCGAGGGCGATACCTGAAGCGAGAGTTTCGTCCACCGCCGCCTCGAAGTCCTTCCAGGGCGCGAGGCCCAGGGCGTAGGCCAGCTGCGGAGGCAGCAACGACAGGCGCGACGTGTGCTCGAAGATGGCGCGCACCACTGACGAAATGTGCTTCATGGCGGGCACCAACTCCGCCCGGTGCTCTCGGTACTTCGGTCCCACGAGAATGGACACCATCACTGCAGCACCAATCAAGACAAGCGTTCAACAACAAAGAAATTCAATTAAAAAATATTTCAGTTTTATATACCAGTATTACTACCTTCTAAAGACCACAAATACAGCTCATCGTCCAGAGCAGGCAATTCTTTTCCACAACTTGAGCGCCATCTTTCAATGAGGTCCGAAACAACGATATCACAGGCAGGAACAATAGTTTCCATGTTATTTGTTCTAAGTATAAGCTTATTCATTATACTACGATTTTGAAACCATTCATCTCCATCCCTAGAAAAAAAGAAAGTGTTCTTAATAAATTTTTGTCTTGCAATAGAAATTGACATTAACGCTTTTTTCGTACATGAAACTAGAAGTTACATGCATGTCAACAATATGCAAGAACAAATTCTAACACACACACTTTCTCACTGATCTAGAGAGAAAAGTAAGTTCTTAATGTAGTGCTGCTTACGCTCTTAGTAGCTTAGCAACTACTCAGCTGTCATTCAGTATTTCCGTCCGTAATTCTGCCCTTATGGCTCGAGGTAGGCAGGAGGCTCAAAAGCATTTCTATTTTCTCATGGAGGTTGGAATTACGCTTGGGAGGGTACGTGGGGCGGACATTTTACACAAACTAGGTTTAATCTAATAATTGTGAATTTACATACAAGTTTGATGATATAAGTTTGGCTTAGTACAAATTATATTAAACTTCTATTTCTGTTACCACCACCATCAATTACATTATTTATAATTGATTGCAAATTTCACACACATTTGAATCGACAGTGACCTTGCCATATTGATACCATTAACTCTGCTATTTGTCGTCTCACATCTTGGTCGTTATCCACTATTTGACACCGTGTACTGTAATAATTTCCCTCCTTTCCTAGAGGGAATGGGGGAGTATAACTTAACTTTCCCCTGCCTTTCTACCTTTCATCGCGGGATGCGCGAAGGAGGTGGTATTGCATGCATTATTAAGAAGAGAAATATTCATTTGGTTGAAACAAGCTTGTAATATTAAATGAGGGCCCTACGTTATGTGCCCGCGTAATTGTACTCTGTGATGTGGCGGCGACAACGAGAATAACACCCTGCAACAAAATTCACCACAGAACCTGACTCCCACCCCTTCACTGTTGAGGTAGGCCACTATTCGTTGTATTTGAACGAATGTGGGCGTGGGGCTTGCTCCACCCAATCCAATATCGGCGCATGTCCATTCAAATTTATTTCTGAAAGTGCCTAAAATTCTGAAAATGTAATTTTCGTTTACCGGGTAGTTCCTCTGAACCGCAAAGCTGCGGCATCCATCCACAAATGGGCGGCCTTTCCGAGAAGGCGACGACAAAGGCAAAGCTTAGGGCGGGAGCGGCCGCGGGGCCGGTGCCGGCGAAGGGCCATGTTCTGTTAGTGCAAATAGAAAGAGGAGGAGGCCGCTTCCTCCTGTCTGCGCCCCGTTGTAGAGTGTCACTGCTAATATTGCTGTTTCCCTCTAAGTGAACTGTCACAATAGCATTGCGTACATAGTGTCCGGTCGCGCGGTTCGTCAGAACCCGTCACTCAGCGGTACACACTCCTCTGCAAAGCCGCGATTGTTCATCGATCATTTTCCCTCACTTTTTAACGACTTCTGATCAAGGCACTCCGTGCCAGTGCCAAGGCCGGAAAACTGCTCAATGTTATGATCCACATAGTTTGACATATTATTGTAAATTACACATTAACATTACACACTGTAAATCAGCTCATATAGGGCAAAAAGTATTATGATATCATGCCAGATGTTTTAAAAGATTCACAATTTATTTGCCTAAAATCCACGACGATTTCTTTTAATCTCAGAGGAAGATAACGTATCAATGGAGGAAGATCGCGCATAAAGTTAGACAAAGGTCAAGTGCGTTGATGTTGAAGAGTTCTCCAAAAGCAACAATGAACTTGTGTTTCTCTTGTTCAGATCTCGATCAGAAAGATATAAATACTGATATCTCGGGGTCATTAGACATATGATAATTATGAGTTCCTGTTTTACGTACTTTACATTTTACTTATCAACGACGCCCCCTCCCACCAGCCGATCTCCAGGAGCAGCCATCATGGGACGCCAGCCTCCCCATACATTATGCGAATGTGGCTCTTAGTCCGTATCGGTCACTGTCAATCGTTAGAAAAGTGTAGCTCGCGGACCCCGCTCAGCCCTCTGTTGTAGTAAGAGAAGCAGGCTGCACATAGATTGCGCTACCGCTGTGACTGCATAGGCTCTTACGTCGCACACATGGTCTCATTCGCGCTCTTGCAACTCACGGGCAAAGCCAGAGGCGGCGTTTGGTTCAAGAGATACTAGAGCTAGGAACCAAGCCAAAACACACAACGTTTGTACATTCCGCAGGATTCCAATGCAGAGCGCAGATTTAACGCATACTTGACAATGGAAGGAAAGTAGTTACAAAATAGTAATACGTCATGGCTGGAAGAGTCCCAGCATTCTACAACAAACTAGCGGGGGGGATGAAGGGGACAGGCTTTCCCGTATTAGTTTTCTATTTCCATTTCTGCTAGCTATTCAGACTTGTCAAATAGTATTCCCAGCTGCTATCTATCGCCGCCAAAAAAGTACATTTTTGTATTCAAAAGTCTTAATTTTTCGGCTACCTAATAGAAGAACAGAAATATTATTTTAAGAATATTAAAGAACAGTGAAACCACGTCGTAAATGGCAATTTTTATTGAAAAATTTGAAACCATTTTGAAGAAAAGGCATTTCAGCGCCACTATAAATTCGAAATTTGAACCTCTTTTCACAGAAAACTATTGAGTTCTCGAAAAACTTCACATGACGTCATTTCAAGCACTTGCAGTCACAAATGCAATAGTATATACAAATCGCTGGAAATGTGCATATTAGAGGGAAAAATCTTTCAAAAAATTTACATTTGAGTAATTTTTGAAAAAACAAATGAAAACAATATTAATTCAGAATCATAAACACTACCATTAGCAGTATCTGTTGGAAAAGTTTGAAGAAAAAATGTGAAGCTGTTTTTAAGAAAATTGCGATTGAGCGATTCTACAAATGCGGAATTTTGAGCTCATTTTCACGGAAAACTGTTTAGTTTTCAGGAAACTATCTCACATTATTCCAAGAACACGTACTTACAAAAACATTAATGCATTGAAATTACCGCTAATGAAAATATTAACGACGTGAGAGAAGGCAAAAACATTACATTTTTGTAATTTTTCAAAACACAAAAGAATAGAGCAATATGGCGTTTTATTTCGACTCAAGCCAAATGGACAGGGGGTTTCATATTACGCATGGTTTGGCGCTTCTAGTGTTCACAGACGACCGACTGACAGACGGACAGATTGACGTTTTGAAAAGAACCACTTTTTCGGTATCAGATGAATTCAAACCAAGTATTTTCGTTGAAATCTCGAAATCGATTTTCCACAGCATTACATAACTATATTACTCTGTACATACGTACGTATACGGGAAATTAAAAAGCAATCATCCATGCCAGAGACTGCATTTCAAAAAGCGTTCCTTCGAATTGAGACCACTAAGGCAAGTCTCCATATTACTGAAGAAATAATAATAATAATAATAATAATAATAATAATAATAATAATATATTATAACAAAATGTGCATATTATGTATTACAAAATGTGTAGTATTGTGTAGATTTTATACTTAGCAGATGCCTTCACATCTGCTATCTTCAATTTAGGGAATGATAATATTTGTCTTTCCCCGAAAGATTATGAACTACGTAGTTCCGAATAAGGTACGTTATACTTGATATATTTTTGCAACTTCTATGACAGTACACAAATACTGTTTTATTTAACACGAGTAACATAAAGTTGAAGAAAACTGTCCAACTTTTAGGAATCTATGATTCGTTAGCAATATTGTTTGCGAGACAATTATTAGTTCATTACCTCGATCCTTCGCGAGTAGCGTTTTACTTTCTCGTCTCACTACTTTCATATAGAAAAGGGAAAGTAGTGTAATGCAGCGCCAAAAATAAGCGATTTTTCAACAGAAAAACACATATTGGCAGGGAAAACTGTAATAACTTAAAAAATGGATAAATGTTGTCCCTGTAGGTAGTAAATTACTTCCTATAATTAGTTGTTTAATCTGCCTTCACGCTTGGAGAGTCCTTGATATTGAAAAATTGAATGATGACAAAATGTGTGTCCGTGTCCGACAGTAGACTTCTTTGTTTTTATTTGGATTTCATTTTACATATCCATATCAATAAATGAATGTCTGGACTTTAATTTTTCTGAAAATAATTATGGCTACAATTCATCTCCCTAATTCTTGAGGTTTCAAACTCCATTAAAAAAATAGTATATGTATCTTCGGGTATCTTCAGTTTCAAAAGTTTGTTAATTTATCAAAAAATTCGAAATGTAACAGTTTAAACAGAACCATAATTAATTCCATTTAATCATACCTCCAAATAGTGGCCACTGTTTCCTATCAGTTCAAACTCCACGAGCTAATCATGTGGTTGAACGCTATCCCATGATGACTGATGATTAAGATTTTAAGGGTGCTTCAACAGCTAAGTCGCCCGTGTCGCATTATTTTAAGAGCAATACGCACTGTAACAGTGCCATACTAAAACACATTTATAGCAAAGTAAAATGTGAGAAACTGACAATAAACGTGTTCGATTATTTAAAAAAGGGGTTGGCAGAAAAGAGACAGATAAATACTTTAAAATCTCTAATTAAAAGCCAAATAATTTGCATAATCCCCTTTTCTCAAATAAAGTTGTAAATGTCCGACTTTAGTAAGAAGCTAAAAAACTTGCAGAGAAAACTATTCGTTTCCAACTACCTGTGCTAGAGAGCTAACAAGGTTAAGCCATAACCTGCTATCTCTTACCATAGAACAGTGCAGGAGAACATGCTCCACGGTGAGATCCGTTTCGCAACTACCGTAAGTAGGGGGAGGGTCACCGCGGAGATGTCCGTGGGAGAAATGGCAGTGACCGATCCGAAGGAATGCCAGAATTCTTTTCTCACACCTAGTCCCACGAGAAGAAGACCAAGGCTTCATAGAATCCTTGATTCTCGTGAATTTAAAATCTGAGATCTGCCACTCAGCAATGCACCGAGAATACGTTTGATAAACAGCTTGGCATCATTTGTTGCGACTGTGAAGATGTCTATCTCAGTTTTCTTTGTGGTGAACTTTGCTGCCTGGTCAGCAATTTCGTTCCTTATTATCCCAACGTTACCAGGGATTCAACA